ATCGTACGGTGTCGAATAATCTGGTGTCGAATAAATCTGTGTCGAATCGAGCGGTGTCGAATCGTACTGTGGTCAATAGAGTATCACCCGCCGGAGCTTTTCTTGAAGCGTCCTGACGCGCTCATCCACGAGCGCGCCAGGCCCGGCCAGCTCCGACTTTGCCGCCTCCACAGGCACATAGGCGAAGGCGACAATGCCATCGCCCAATCCCCTTATAGTGGCTGCCACGTTCTTTAAGATCTTGACGTAACGTCCGGCAAGATTCTTGGACATGGTGGCCACTTTTGTCACGGCCTCCGCAGCTGCGTACGTCTTCTGCACCATTTCAGCCGCGAAGGCAACCGGACACGTGAATCTGGAAGACGGTAGCTGGGTGGTGTCGCGCCAGCACTTGTCCTCCAGCTCAAGGACCGCTTCCGCTCGCTTCGCATCCAAAGCACGCTTCTCGGCCGCGACAATACCGAGAAACTCGGCAGCGGTTGGCGGTCTTCCGACGCCCTTACTTGTGCTGGGGGCCTGTGTGGAGGCGTCCTCCTGCACCTCCATAAAAATGTCATCGTCCTCAAACAGTGGAGACACGGACACGCCGGCGGGTGGCGGAGAGCGGGAACGCTCCCTCGCCGGCTTTTTCTTTTTCTCTTTCCTAAAAGGGGTGCCAACGGCGCTACCTTTAATGAAGGAGACCGTCGCCCCAAACATGCGTCGCGCATTAAGCGCGAGCACGTCGTAGCGCGCCTTTGCAGTAGTATGTTCGCCCCTTACCTCTGCGGTGCAGGCGGAGTGTAGCCCATCACGAGATGACGACATGGGGGTGCCTGAGACGGCAACACCCCTACGCCGGGCCCTGAGTGTCCGATCACTCTGGGCCGGTACGTGTATCTCTTCTTCAGAACTCATACCCATAGTTTTTAGAAGAGTGGTGTAATTTCGGAGTGTTCCTTCTCCTAGGCCGGCTGCCCACACAGGGTTAACGAGCCCGGCCTGCCCGGGTGCGCTCTTGGTCTGGCCGCTCTCCGTGGACCTGTCCGGCAAGGGTGACCCTGCCAAAAACCGAAGTTCCCGCCGGCATAGCTTCACGGATCAACACGGCACTCAAGCCCCTCTACCACGACAAGGTAGCACTCCCTCGGAAGGGATAAAAATGGGCTTAAGAGTCCTCTTTTCGCCCCTTTAGCGGGCCCCACCCGGGGCCACCAGTTATGGGAGCGTCCAGATTTCTCGCCTCCTCGAGCCTCCTTGCCATCTATCTCGCTCGCCGGAAAGGAGACTCCCCCATACCAATCATGTCCCGAGTGCACTGTTATCGGGACCCTTGGCACCTTAACCTACCCCCGCAAGCCACATGCGATTGTTTTATAGCAGGGTCATGTGGAACCCCCGCTAGGCGAAAGCCTGTGGTAGCGACAGCCTCTTCCCCAGCCGACAGACCCCCGCGAGAGGCACCCTGGCCGCGCAAACGAGCAGCACAGCGCAGCGCAGCCCTTGACTCCAGCGGGTCCCAGCCGCACCGCACCGCACCGCCCGAACCACAGCCGGGGGAACCCCCTACGCGGGGCAACTCCCCACACCCGGCGGGGCATGGAAGGAGCGCCTGACCCCAGCAAGAGCAGCCAGTCCGCAAAAGGCTACCCTGGATTAGGGCCAGATTGAAAGCCGACTGATGGGTACTGCCACCGGTCAAGCAGCGCCATTTTCTTCGGAGATGCTTTGCCATGCTGCGGAAGCACCCCCGACCCGACCGTACTCCGAATATCTATACAAGGTGAGCCGGATCCCTGTCGTGGCCAAGACGGCTTGAACTCTACCCGTGTCCCTGCCTTCGTGTTTTTATACGAGGGGAAGGCAGACCCCTGTTGGTCGGTGTGTGGCACCACGCGCCCGAAGGCCCGACTTCCGTGCCGATCCACCGCCGCTACCCGTGTCCCTGCTTCCGAGTTTTTAACCTGGGGAGAAGCAGACCCCTAGTGGCAGGTGTGTGACATCACGCGCCCGAAAGCTCGATTTGGGTGCCGATCCACTTCCTCCCTGCCCGTGTCCCTGCATCCGTGTTTTTATACGAGGGGGAATGCAGACCCCTGTTGGTGGAGCACCAATCACCGAGCGTTACGGCCCCTCCTGGCCGGCATCGGCAACCGGACGCCCCCCGCCTCTTGGAAGATCAAAAGGAACTCCGCTGCTTAAGTTCAGACCGAGAACCGGCCAACCGGCAGCCATGCTCTCCTTGCACGCGAGTGTACCTACGCGCGGGACTTATAAACTAAAAGCTATACAAGCTAAGATCTTCCCAAACTATTCATTAAGTTTTTAATCAATAACAGATTAAATTCTAACTCTGACAATAAATTAGTTTTGAATGATTTTGATGAGGTTAGAAAATATTTTGTTGTTCCTTATCTTCCTGACCTTTCTTGTTCTATTTCAAAAATTTGTAAAAAAACGAAGGAGATCTCTTTGGCTTTTCGTAGTCTGAATAAATTGAGTAAATTTATTAAAGTTGGAAAGGACAAGTTAACCCTTGATCAAAACAGGGATGTTGTGTATCAGATTGATTGCAATAATTGTAATGTATCTT